CCAGGGCCGGCGCCGAGAGGCGGGGCGGGCGCGGCCGGCGCTGCGGCGGGAACGCGCGCGCGCGGCCTGCGCGGGGCCGGGCACGAGCACGGCCCTCCTCGGCGTCGCGGCCCCGGCGCTCGCCGCCCTCACGTCCGCGGCCCGCCCGCGGGGACGCGCCCATGGGTCCCTGGGCGAGGACGGCGGTCAGGCCGCGCGCGGTGGTCTCCTCGGGGCCCCTTTGGGGCCTTGGGGACGGGCCCGCTCCATCCCCCAGGGCCGGTCCTGCAGAGTCGGGGGGCGCCTTGCTTGGAAGTGGCGGGGGTTTGGGGGACGGCTCCGGGAGGATGCGCCCGAAGGAGGGTCTGTGGAGCACAAAGTCTCGCTAGCCCGGCGGCCGCCTCCGGCACGCGCTCGCTGCCTCTCCACCCAAACCCCCCCTCCCCGGCGGCCGAACGGCTACGCGCAGGCCTGGGGGCGCAGCCCCGCCTCCGCGCGCATGCGTGCGAGGCCCAGCCCGCTCCCGCCCGCCTGCACGAGGGTCCGAGGCGCGCGGGGCCCGGTCCGTGCGTCGGGCGTCGTGCGCACGGGGCCTGTAGCCTCGGAGCTTTCCAAAGGCTGTGGAAAAGCAATGAGAATGCAAAAGAAAAACCGTTAAAACTTCACAATTAATTAAAAAAAATGTCTATGAGATTTCACATTTCAACCGGTCAGCTGCAAGTCATATAATTGACATCATGGAGCGCGGGGAAGGGGATGTGCTTCCGTAAGGGGATGTAGGGGCACGCAACACCCAGAACTGTAAGGGCACTTGTGTGTGCGAGAAGGATCTCTATAGACTAGATGAAACCTCCGGAGTCCCTGGACAAGGAGCAGATTGTGGTGAGACTTACCCAGACCCCAGCACACACACCTTGTCAGTTAAGCTGAGTACCCTTCCAAAGCATAAACGAAGGGGAGGATCTCAGGTGTGGCTGAATCCGGGAGCTTGTAGAGTATTGAGAGCTATAGAGTATACTGGAGCTATGGAGTCATTATTGCTCCGAGGTGAGGAGGAAGGATAGCATCTTCTGACTGGCCAGGCCTGGATCCTCTGAATCCCATAGTGGGTAGGGGTGGAGTCAGCCTTGCCCAACCAAATGTACTGAATATTCATCCCAGAAAGAGGCAGCTTCTCAAAGAAAAACCGAGGCACTGTTTCCAGGAAAAAGGTCTGGATGCAGTGCTGGCTAAAATATCAGATGTCCACGGGTGACTCTTAGCAACAGCCTTCACAATTTCTCCCTCTAGACCCTTCCCTTCCACCCTCACTGGCCATCATCTGTCTATGCCCTGGCCATATTGAGGCTGGATTGTATTTATTTACTTGTCTCCAGAAAGTACAGCCCCTAGACCAAAGTAACCAGGCCCTCTCCCTGGGTCTAGCGCTTAAAGAGGGATCTACTCTAGCCCTCCTGCTGCGGGACCCCCTTCTCACAGACCAAGAAGTTCTTGGAACTAAGGTACCCCATGTTCAGGCACCTGAGACCTGGAATTCCCTGCCCAGACAGCCCCGGGCCTGGTGGGGGTCTCTCTGCTCTGCTTTTCTTACTTGGCATGCCCTGGCCTGCCTCTGCCTGACATGCTCATGCCCCCTTCTCCTTTGTCCTTACAAGGGTCTTTCAAAGCATGGGCTACGGAGTGGGGTGAGGTGTCCATTCATAGATTTCAATTGTTTTGCATAAATGCCCGGAAGTGGGATTGCTGGATCATAGGGTAGTTCTATGTTTGACTTTTTTTTTTTTTTTAAGATTGATTTATTTGTTAGAGAGAGAGCAAGCGAGCATAAGCAGGGGGAGTGGCAGGCGGAGGGAGAAGCAAGCTCCCCGCTGAGTAGGGAGCCCAACGTGGGTCTCGATCCCAGGACCCTGGGATCATGACCTGAGGCCTGAGCTGAAGGCAGACGCTTAACCGACTGATCCAGCCAGGCGTCCCCTATGTTTAATGTTTCAAGGAACTGCCATACCATTTTCTACAGTGGCTGCACCATGTACGTTCCCACCACCGGTGCACCAGGGTTCCATTTCTCCACATCCGCATCAACACTTTGGACAAAACTACCTTCTAAAACATTAAAGTAAAAAAAATTTGTTTGATTAAAAGTATTAGTAAAAGCACAGGTGGTACTTGGCTACGGCAGATCTCATGAAGGACGTGTGTTGAGGGCTGACTGAGGCCCACGCTGGTCTGGGAGTGAGCTGCCCACCAGCCTCCAGCCTCCCTCCTCTATTGCTCTGACTCCACCACACATGACTCTCCCTTACCCCTGCTCTCATCTCCCATCTCCTGAGAAATCCCAGGTCGCTGACTGAGCCCCATCTGAAATGCCCCTTCTCCTCAGATCTCCAGTGGGCCCAGTTGCCAGTCTCCCAGCTCCAGGTCCTGGGAAGGGGTTCAGTCCTTCAGAAACTGATCTGACTCCTCTGGGAGCAATGTCTACCCTCCCAGGGCCGTGAACAGGGGAAGCCTGTGTGTAAAGCATGCTACCTAGCACGGGGGGGGCTGGGGTGGTTCCAGGGATCAGAGCCCAAGCTGGGTTCCTTGGGCAATGTTGGAAACCTCAAAGGATTGTCCAAAATTTAATGTCTCCTCCTCCCCTCCCCCTTCTCCTCTTCTTCTTCCTTTTCCTTATGAAATGGCACAGGATCCCTCTGGTCCTAGTGAGGCCCCAATCCCATTTTATTATTTATGGTTTCCCTTTTATCACTACCCCTCACTCCCATTCCCTCCCCACAGGCAACCATATGAATGCCCTTAATGTATATCTTTTGTGTTCTCCCAAAATGTGTGTTAGCCTTTATGTTCATGGGCTTCTTAATTATTCAGCAGTGTTGGTTATAGATGGCATTCTGGTTCTCACTCTCTTCATCTAGTGCTATGCTGGTATTTTGTATTCCTTTTTCTTATATTTACTTATTACATTTATATTGAAATATAACATACCTGTACTAAAGTGCAAAAAAAAATCTTACATATACAGCTCAACAGATGTTTAGTAAGTGAACATAACTTTGTAACCACCATCTAGATCAAGGTGGAAAACCTTACCAGCACCCCTGAAGCTTTCCTGGGCTTCTCAGTCATTAGCATCCCATATTCTGATTTCTGTTAACCATAGTTGAGTTTGCCTGTTTTTGGACTTTATAGAAATAGAACCATGCAACACATACTCTTTGGGGTCCAGTTTCTTTCTCTTGACATTATATCTGTGAGATTCTTTCCTTCCTTGCATATAGTAATGGGTGTGTGTGTGTGCGTGTGCATGCGCGCACACACCCTTTCTCTTTGCTGTATACTATTCCACAACTAATCTGTCTTTTCCTGTGGATGGGTATGTGTATTGGTTTCCACTTGGGGCTGTCATGAGCAGAGCTGTTATGAAGACTCTGTGTGTCTTTTGGTGGACATGTGCAAGCCTCTCTGAGAGTATATGTTCTGGAATGGAATGGCTGCTTTGCAGGGTAGGCATGTATTTAGCCTTGGTGGATACTAGCCCTGTACTAGCTGCCCTCTCTAGGAGTCTCTGTTTTTGTTTCCTCCCTGGGGCTCTGTCCCTTGGAGGGCTTGGTCTGTATTGACTGTACCCACCACTGCTGCTGCTGATCAACACCCTGTCCCTCCCTCCTGCCAGATGGTGGCCACAGGTGAAATGATTATGGAAACCCAGTCCAAACCCCATGGGGGCAGACTCTTCTAGAGGATCCTAAGGTCCTAAGAAAGGCTGCAGGTGAAGCGCCCTGTGGGAACACCAAGACTGTATAAGACACATGTCTGAACACTGGCTGAGCATTTTCACATTCGTATCAGTTTGCTGTCTCCTCTTTTTGAAGGACCCGGTGACATGCCATAGCCCTTTCACATGATGCTGTTATGGAAGGTGGCAGAAGGATGGGTCCCAGGTCCCCAGAGTGCAGCCTCTGGGTCACCCAGGCCAGCACATGGAAAGAGTATTTTAGGAAGTGCAAAGAATGTTTTTATTTTAATAATTAAATGTTCATTTTAATATTGCCTTATTCTTTATTGCAAGTGATTTTGCTTTTCAGCCATAGTAATGTCAACCATCTTTAAAAAGTGAGGTGTTGGGGCACCCGGGTGGCTCAGTGGGTTAAGTGTCTGCCTTCGGCTCAGGGCATGATCTCAGGGTCCTGGAATCAAGCCCCGCATCGGGCTCCCTGCTCAGCGGGGAGTCTGCTTCTCCCTCTCCCTTTGCTCCCTCCCCTTGCTTGTGCTCGCTCTCTCTCTCTCAAATAAATAATAAATAAAAATCTTTCTTTCTTAAAATGAGGTGCCTTAGGTTTATTATATTTAATAATGAGGTGCCACCCGTTTATTATATTTAATAATAGGTGGAACACAGGTGTGGCAAAATTGTACAAGTGGTGAGTAGATGAACAAGGTGTAGCAAATGCTGACAGAGAAGATAGTGGGGGCTTCTGAGATAGACGCCCAGGACCAGGTTCAAATCCATGGTGCTGATTGTTAAGTATTCAGGAATTTTGCAAGTCATTTGTTAAACCACTGATCTCTTGAAATTGACCGTGGTGGTAGGTAATATTTACACCTCCCTACCCCTCCA